CATAGTTCTTGCAGAACTTGAGCACGTAGACGCACGTCCCGAGAAAAGACTGCAATTCACGCTTCGTTCGCGGTGATGGCCAGTCGCGGATGACTCTGATTTTGTCAGGATCCATACGAACACCTTCACGTCCAAGGTAATCACCAAGGCATGGAATTTCGGACGCACAGAACGTGCATTTGGCAAGTTTGACGTAGAGTTCTTGCTCCTCACACCGTCGTAGCACTGCGTCCAGGGCCTTGAGGTGCTCTTCCACAGACGTCGACTCCGTGAAGATGAATAAATCATCAAAGTAGGCTTGACAGAATGCTTTCTGATCATTAAACACGTGCTGCATTAGTCGATTGAATGCCGCAGGACTGCATGATAAGCCCATAGGAGTGACTAAGTACTCAAACTGACCGTCCGGGGTTGAGAAAGCAGTATAGGGAATGTCCGATTCTCGCAAACGCACTTGGAAAAATCCCCACAAAAGGTCGAGAGCAGAGAACCAGTAACCTTTAGCCATCGCGTCGAAAATGTCCTCCTTCCGAGGTATTGGTGTTGCAGGAATGCGAATCTTACTGTTGATAGCTCGAAAATCATGGACGATTCGCCAGCCCACAGCTTTCTTCACGCAGAACGTAGGGGATGAGTACGGTGATTTGGATGGTCTAATGATACCTGCATCTAGCATCTCCCGTGTCCATTCCCGTATTGTTCGCTTCATTTCTTCGCTGAGACGATACTGTTTCCTGGCAACCGGAACATTGTCGGTAAGCTCGACTTCCGCCTCGATGTCCACAGACCGTTGAGGTGGTTGATTTGGTAGCTCCATCCGAAATACAGTATCCTTATACTTCATCACCACAGGCTCTACGAGGGACCCTTTAAGTTTATCCCAGTCCTGCTCGAGTTGCCGACTTGCTTTCGCTGATTGTGCAGGAGGCTCCGTAGCTTGCACCATAAAGCAAAACTCGCCAGCGGATGACTTCATCTTTCGGAACTGCTTCGTCGAGATGACCTTGGTAGATCCGTAGCGGGATATATAGCTGTGCTTTGTGTAGAACAACACGGTGTCATCGTGAAGCGTACGACTCTGGCGAGCTAAGGAGCGTCGACTACCGGCCGTATTCCTACAAGGAGCATTGCGCACGCACGGCCGAAACGATAGCGTCGTAGTTGATCCTCGTGGACTAACAGTTCTCTGAGTCCAGTCGATGTCCGGGTTTGCACTTGTAAGCCATGGTACCCCTAGTAGAATATGTTTCTTTTCGGGAATTTCCATCACGAATGCTTGAGTCGAATAAGTCGGAAAACCGTCCATATCCACTTCAATATTGCAGATCCGTCGAGGAATACTGATGCTGCGCTTGACTCCAAGCTTGATCTTCAGTGGTTTGTCCGATTCTGTAACAGGTAACTTGAGTCGTTCAGCAACCGCTGGTGAGATAGCATTAAAAGATGCCCCACTATCGATGAAGACATCAACTGTCGAGCCTGTTACGCACGCTTTCTTTGCCAAATAGCCATAAAGGTTGTCTCGTGTGCCACTTGCACTTCGATCACCGGAGTGGAGATTCAGTGACGGAGACTGGGGGCTATCAAACGACGTATGGCCATAGCCGTCTGATGAGTTCGGCCCGGTGGGTTGCCGGCCCACCGAGCCTAAGCGTTTTTTTAGGCTGCCGCACGCTCTGTTGCTGCCTTCTTCTTGCGACAGACAGCCTCCGTGTGACCGATACGATCGCAGTAGCCACAAGTCGGCTTTACGTGGGCATCAGGGAGTCTGTTAACGCTGCTGCCAGTGTTGTGTGCACTTTGGCTGAACTTGGCCCTCTCCGAAAACGCCGCGTTACCAGTTCCTGCATTGCGACCTTTTGATTTCTCGTCCTTTGAGCTTCTGGGCGCGCCTGGGCGTGAATCTTCGAACCGTTGAGCCAGTTCGATAGCACGCTGAAGGGTATCGGGGATATTTTGGGACACGAATGCGCTAGTATCAGTTCGGAGATTCTGTTGAAAGAACCATCGCTTCACACCTTCCGGTAAGTCTTCATCCAACTGCGAGAGCAGATGGAGAAACTGCGTCGTATAGGCCTGTTGAGACCCAGTCCAGCGCAGATTGTAAAGTTTCGAGAGAAGTTTATACTGAAAGTCAGAATCGCGAAACCGTTCTCTAACTTGCTGCTTGAAGAGGGCCCAGGTAGCAGGTCTGTCTCCCAGCGAGACTTTAAAATCCCTGAACCAGGTTTGGGCAGTAGGACCGAGGTTACCGAATATCAAATTGACAAAATCCGACGTGTCACTGGCCATGTCAGTCTGGCTGTCAGAGTAATACTGCTCAGTACTGAAGAGCCAAAGCTCCAGGTCATCGCTCGTCTCTCCATTGAACATTGGTGGATTGCCTTTTCGCTTTTGTTGTTTTTGAGACGTGGCCTGTTGTTGGAGCATCTGCTGCTGAAAAAATGCTTGCTGCTGCATTAACTGGGTAAACTGCTGCTGTTGCTGCTGCTGGGATGTGGCTAAAAACTCGAACATCTGACGGAGCATGGCGGTATCCGAGGTTGTGGTACTACCATGAGCTGAAGATGCCTGCTGCGATGGTACCTGACCTGCGTTGGTCTCGTCGCTCTGGTGAGCATTCTGGGTCGAGTCGACAGTGGGTGTTTGCGCACCTGACACGTCTTCTTCTCTCATTCGGCGTGTTTGCCGAGGTCGTGGGTTTGGGCTGCGACCACGATCCATGGATGAATCTGTAATTGAGCCTTCTTGTCTTGAAACGTTTCACGCTTCAATAGTTAATTAACTGTCACGTGGTAACGTGGAAACTCAACTTGGTGGCCTTGAGTTGTAGTCGGAGACTTGAGTTGTAGGTTGCAAAATTGAGAATGAAATTGAAAGTTAAACATGAAGCAACGTGAACTACTCGAATGCTGCCCTGTGTCTAGCTTCGACTACCATATGAGAGAAGTCGTGTGATCCGCTGGCAGCCTTGAATTGAGGAGTCCACCCCCAGCAACCACAAGAGTGGTGTGTCGCTGTGGACAACCTTAGTTGCTCACGTATAGAGTCAAGGTTATGGGTTGAACCATGACAACCTCGGCAGGTTCTCGGATTACATGCATCGCATCGTAATCGCAGCATCCATAGATATTCTTCCGCCGATTCTGCACTCAATCACTTTATCATTTGCCCATTGGACCACACTACCACCGTATCCTCAAGTGAAACCATGCGGCTATACTACATGATTCTTCTAGCCTCCGTCGCCGTCCTGGCGAACGGTACCACATTGTCTGCAGTGGGTCCACCCACACCCGGATCGTTTGCTGAGAACGGCTCACCTCCTGCAATCGGAGGTGGCACTCTCGCACCAAGGCTCCTGAGATACGCTAAGGACGAAGACGAAGAAAGAGGAATCTGGCAGAAAATCGAACATGTTCTCAAGTTGAGGAAAAGAGAAATCCCTACTTCCCAAGCAAGGCCTATTTCCCAAGCCGATATAACCAAATTTTACAAATGGGTCAACTCCGGCAAATAAGGAGGCGACAAGTGGTCGGTGCCGAACTCGCTGCGTCTTTTAGCGAATACGGGCAAGAACAAAGATTTCGTCAAGAATCTGCCAGGTCCAATCTCAAAGAAATGACTCACAGGTCGTCAAGAACGTAGAATCGCGGTTGGCGTTTGATAACGTAAGTCCCGATTAAGAAAGCATACATGGGACTTAAAGGCTAGACAGCGTTAACTCGAACGAAGCAACGCACTTGACGATGTTGTATGTAGTTCTCCTTTTTATCTAAATTTCATTAAATCTACTACAAGTACAGGTAATGTGTCAAGTGATATATATCATTGCTCCTCTTTGTCTTTCGAGAGGAAACAGAACACTAGTAAGTAGCAGTAGATATGCGCAGTAAATGCGTCCTGATCAGATCTGGCAACGTAGATCACACCACACGTGCTCGCTTCATGTTTGATGCATTGGAAAACATGTGTTGGAGTTGAAATGTTTAAAACATAAAAACTTTCCACCCTCGGCTATTTAAACCACGCCTGGTTCCACTAGATGTGCCATGTTAAAAGTCAAATGCGCGTCATTGTAAGGCCATCCCTCCAAAACTCACGGGAGTACTACTTGTGGTTGTCTCTTTTCGATTGTCATCTTCACCCTCACGATAATTCGATGTTCTTCTATCATTAAATGGCTACTTCAAACGCATGAGTAAACCCTTTTAGAATCTCGTTCCCCAGGGCCTTCTGCTTTGGCAGTAGTCCCTGATTTTGAATACCAAACAGGGTCGCGATGCTTTCCGGGGTCTCCTTTCGGCTGACCCACACCTTGAACTGATAGTTCTCCACAGCAACCGCGAAATCCTTTAAATCTGGATTGTTTTTAGAGATTGCAATGCTGTCGCGACTCTGGGCGTCGCATACTTGAGATGAACGTCCTGTATGGTCCCAATAAATCGGGAAGACTCCAGTCTGGGGTGTGACGAAGGGCGTCCAATGTTGGCCAAACCTCGGTGTCCCTTGCAGCTTGCATCAGCGTACTGTATATTGGCGGTCTTGAAGGCTATTCTCTCCCTTCTTCTCTCTGTAAACTTTCACGAACCTGAACTACCGAAGAATCTTCTTACCCTCGTCGAACATTGCACCAGGCTTGACCTCCAAGTTCTTAAACAAGTACTCAGGATTGCGACCAGCCTAAATCACGATTTTGTCCGCCAGCTTTATGTCCATTTTTCGCAACTTTGAAATCTTCATGCCCAGGTCTGCAAGCTTCGATAACCCCAAAGTATTTGCTCTCTCTTCACTTGTTAATCTCAATTTCCGTGGCGCCGTGGACTCCTCCTTATCTGGACTTAGATAGCCCCCTATCTTTACTGGCTTGGCATGAAACTGCGGTATTGAAACAGCATTGACGCCTACTTGGAATACACCAATGAGCAGAAGCACGGTGAAGAGCATATGCATATTTGTTCGACTGGTTTCTTGGACACTTGTGTGCTGGGCTGCGAATTGGAATGTGATTTGAGTTTCCTTTCACATACAGACTGTATTACAGCACTACAGTAAAAGATCGAGCTGAATGTATACGCGGCGGTCCTTGTCCAACGCATAATCCGCTGTCCATCGTGGCCCGCGATACGCTTACAATTTAAGCCTTACATAGCGCATTACTGGCTCTCGCCAACGTTTAGTACTGTACACATGTAAAGTAGATTCTTCAGGCTTGTTCAGTTTGCGAGGGAGACTGGCAGCTCGTTTTACAAGATTGGCATTGTCATTTTGCCATTCTTGTACTTTAAAAAGTAGTAAGGTTAGATAACTACTTAACCACGGTGTCTAATAGGGACTCTGCAATTTCTAAATAAGTGCTTGCATGATAAAATTCGTGAATGCCGCATTTCTAAAATGTGAAGGAAGTCACTGTCATTTCCGATATTGCTCAAAAACCTTAATACTAGTAGTTATCTTCTTCTTCTTCAAAGTCATTTCCCTCACCCTCATCCGGGTAGTCCGGGGCGTCGTCTTCTTGAAAAGCATCTCCAAATTCGTGTCGCTCGTCGTCCTCTTCGTCGTAAAGATGTACCCGTCGGAGCTGCGAACCCCTGGCGTCGTCTTCGTCAGCGTCTTCATCTTCGTGTGCATATCCGGAATTGGCTGCTATGATAGAGCGTTCCATCTGCTCTTCCTCATCATCACTGTCGCCTTCGTCAACGATTCGAACTTGTCTGCCTCGTGCTCGCTTTCGTGGTCTTCGTTGATCACCTCCGTCTTCCTCAATACGAGGGAATGTTACGTCTGGGTTGGGCTGTGCCTCTTCTTCACCGGACTCATCGTTCTCAAACCACTGTTCCCGCTTCACTTTTCGGCTCGTAGCTCGAGAAAGTGTGTCCTCTTCATCGTCTTCGTCCTCTTTAATGGCTTCATCGCCGTCATTATTACCTCGTACATCATGTTCCCCTCGAACGACATCACTAACATGAATCCCCGGTTCATCCTCGTTGCTGCCGTTGGGCGTACCCTCTTCTTCATCCTCACTATCAACGATTGTATTCGCGTTTCGCCGAGGGGGTCGAACAACACTTTCTCTTCTTCAACAGCATCTACGTCAGCCTCTCCATCCGAAGAGAACGCAGCCTCTTCGACAACGCGAGTATTGCGACGACCTGGTCGTACTTCATCCTCAGCGTCGTCACACTCACGCTCTTCTACGTCATCCTGTCGATATCCGCCTTCGGAGCATCTACCGGCGTGGCTCTGAGTCAGTGACTACATGTAATACTTATGAAACGTTCGTAAAGACGTCTTCGGACAAATGCTTGTCCGAAGGCGTCTTTACAAGCGTTTCATAAGCATCCTTCAGCTTGTGCGTACTCAATTAATGTTCACCGAGTACGCACAAGTTGAAGATAATCCACACCGGAATGATATGCTTTGTGCATCGCTTGTCCGTAGACGGCTCCTCAGCTTGTTTAACAATGTCACTTCAACGTGATCACAGGACTCACATCGGAGTGGCACAGGGCATTAGTGCTTTCACTGTTGAACTCGATAACGATTAAAGTTGACAACACTACTCTGCCTTTATTGACACAGTCGTGTAAAAAAATGCAAAAACGTTTTTATATGAGCGTCACCAGCAGGTGTCTGCTTTAACATAACTACCTGCAGCTAGAAAAATGTACAACACGAGGATGCTGAGCACTAGAACCTACTCGCAGTCAAGCACAATTCGGCCAGCAAGCTTGCCAGCGGCCATGCGCTTGAACACGCTCGGTAGGTTGTCCAGCTTCTCGATGGTGTAGGTAGTCGACACGTCACCGGCAGCGGCCAGTTTCAGGGCCTCAATCGAGTCCTGACGGTTGCCAACGTATGATCCGATGATGCGGTGCGAGTTCAGCACGGAGCCGAATACTTCAGCCGTGATGTACGTGTCTTTAGGCAGACCTACCAGCACAACAGCACCGTGAGGGCGAAGGAAGGACAGAGCGTCGGCATAAGCGTCTCCACCAGAAGCAACGACAACGCTTGCGTGTGCTCCACGACCCTCGGTGGCCTCAAATACCTTCTCCTTCACATTGCCCTCCTTAAAGTCAATGAAATCCTTGATGCCGTACGAAGCTACAAGCTTACGCTTGTCGTCACCAGAGTCGATAGCGATCACGCGGTAGCCCATGGCACGAGCGTACTGGCACGCAAGGTGACCCAGACCGCCGCCGGCACCCGGGATGACGACGAAGTCGCCGCAGTTGCCCTCAATCTCCTTGAGAGCCTTGTACACAGTTACACCGGCACACAGGATGGGAGCGGCGGCGTGCATCGGCAGGTCTGTCGGGATTGGAGTCACGTGCTCCGAGAAGGACACGCACCATTGCTGGAACGAGCCGTCCACGGTGAAGCCGTGCAGATCAGCGTCAACGCACGTGGACTCGTGGCCCTTACGGCAGTCCTCGCAGCCCAGACACGAGTTGGCCAACCACTTGACACCGACGGGGTCACCGATCTTGAGACGAGTGTGCGTGTGCTCAGCAATAGCAGCGACGTAACCAGCACCTTCGTGGCCACCAACGAGAGGCAGTTTGTTGTCCAGAGGCCAGTCACCAGCCCACACGTGCAGGTCCGTGTGGCATACACCGCTGTAGGCAAGGCGGACGAGCACCTCACCGGGCTTCAGGTCTTCCGGCTGGGTGACGGGCCAGTCCTTGCGCACCTGAAGTGGTTCGTTGTTCTTCTCGAAGACAACGGCGGTCTGTGTCTTGGGGATATCGTAGTGTGACTGCGACTTGACTGAGAACGATCGCGACTGGCACCGAGGACAAGTGCAGCCCATCGAGTGCTGCACGCAGTTGCCACAACGGCACTGCACGTTGTGAGCACCGACAATCGACTTACTGGAGGTCGTGGCAACACGACGAGCAGGCTGGCTGAAACGGGATACCACGCGCAACATGGTGATCTGGATACGAGGCTTGGGGATTTACTGGATACGCAGTAGCTGGCAAATGGCAGAATGAGCTCAGCTCCCGCTTTTGCGTGGCTGCGGCTTTGACACTTTGCAAGCAGGAGCTGCAGGTTTTGGCGTCTTTGTGTCCAAGCGGCACGAGGCAGCATAGAAACCTCACACCACCAAGCAGCATTTGCATGTGTCATGCCCCCAGCAATTGGACCACAATCTCTTCGATTGCATCTTGCCAATCCGTCAAAACTAAGGCTCGTCTGCTGCCCAGATGTGAATTCACTGTACCAGCATGTTTTGCTTTGCATACACATTCCGTCGAGCAACTTTCGCCAACTTCAAGTAGGTCGATACAAATTTCAAGTCAAAATGAACTCAATTCATTAGCATGTCAAAGGGACACTCGCGCCGAGCAGAGCTGCTCTCCACTTCACTACTGCTTCTCGACGCTTCCTCTCGTACACCACGCACTGGACACGTCGCAGCCGTTGGGGCTGCATTCAACACCATCTGCTTACTCGCAGTCAAGGACAATGCGGCCAGCGAGCTTGCCATCAGCCATGCGCTGGAACACATCCGGCAGGTTCTCCAGCTTCTCGATCTTGTACGTCGTGTTCACATCGCCAGCAGCAGCAACCTTGAGGGCCTCGATCGAGTCCTGACGGTTGCCAACGTATGAGCCAATGATGCGGTGAGCGTTCAGCACGGAGCCAAAGACCTCAGCCGTGATGTACGTGTCCTTGGGCAGACCCACCAGCACAACGGCACCGTGAGGGCGCAGGAACGAAAGTGCGTCCTTGTATGCCTCGCCGCCAGAGGCTACCACGACCGTCGCGTGGGCGCCACGGCCCTCAGTAGCCTCAAAGACCTTGTCCTTCACATTGCCCTCCTTAAAGTCAATGAAATCCTTGATGCCGTACGAAGCTACAAGCTTGCGCTTGTCGTCACCAGAGTCGATAGCGATCACGCGGTAGCCCATGGCACGAGCGTACTGGCAGGCAAGGTGGCCCAGACCGCCGCCGGCACCCGGGATGACGACGAAGTCGCCGCACTGTCCTCCGATCTCCTTGAGGGCTTTGTACACAGTCACACCGGCGCACAGGATCGGAGCGGCGGCGTGCATCGGCAGGTCCGTAGGAATCGGAGTGACGTGGTCAGCGAATGACACGCACCATTGCTGGAACGAGCCGTCCACGGTGAAGCCGTGCAGATCAGCGTCAACGCACGTGGACTCGTGGCCCTTACGGCAGTCCTCGCAACCGAGACACGAGTTGGCCAACCACTTGACACCGACGGGGTCACCGATCTTCAGGTGGGTGTAGCTGTGGTCGCCAATGGCAGCAACGTAACCAGCACCTTCGTGGCCTCCGACCAGAGGCAGCTTGTTGTCCAGAGGCCAGTCGCCAAGCCAGACGTGCAGGTCAGTGTGGCACACGCCGCTGTAAGCGAGACGGACGAGCACCTCACCGGGCTTCAGGTCCTTCTGCTGCGTCACAGGCCAGTCCTTACGAACCTGCAGTGGAGCGTTGTTGTTCTCGAACACCACAGCGGTCTGCGTCTTGGGGATATCGTAGTGCGACTGCGACTTGACCGAGAATGAGCGCGACTGGCAGCGTGGGCACGTGCAACCGGTCGGATGCTGCACGCAGTTGCCACAACGGCATTGCATGTTGTGCGCGCCTGCGAGAGACTTGCCAGAGGTCTGCACGACGCGACGTGCGGGCTGGTTGAAGCGAGATACGATGCGAAGCATGACGAAGAGCGTTGAGAAGCGTTTGAAAGGGTTGCTGGAGTGAGCAGCAGCCAGGAAATTGGTTAATGAGGCGAAACAAGTGCGTGGCCATGCAGAAGGGCAACGGCTCATGGCATTCCAAGGGGTGGGCTGGCTTCGACACTGCAGGTATGGATAGTATCTTGCTGCTAACTTCAACGTCTAGTCTTGCGTGTCGGCGGTAGTCGCTGGCTGCAATGACTGGCATGCTGAAGCATTGTACACAACTTCAACGCTACCTTCGCTTACGGCCGTAGTGAGACGGGAGCAAGTTCAACCAGATTGCCTAGAACGACAGTGCACTGCAATCGGTGCGAGAGTTTCGTTTAACGCCATCCGCTTCAATTAGCGCTGCCATCACAAGAAATGCAAGGACAGGAGTCGGAATCTAGGCATGAATAGTATGAGCTCTTCAACAAGTGACCGGCATTTGGTTTTAGCCGTTGCGGCTGTTCGCCGTTTTAGCAAGTGAAACGCAATTCACACTTGGTATTTGTATGCTGCGTGTTTTTGCATTTTGAGCGATTAAACGTGACTTAAACAGATTGGAGCAACTTTGTGGCAACTTTGGAGCATCAGGTGGAAGAAACACGCGCGCTGAAATCGCTTTCACTATTGCGTAGAAGCAGGACATACTTTATTCCCTTCCTGAAATAATAACCTCCTATATATGTTTAAATATGCTTATTGAATGTTGTTAAACTCAATGAACAGCTAAAGTACACTTCACTTGTCAATGCAATGCGCGTCGCTTTCAGTGACAGTTGTCGTCACAAGAGAGTCCTGAATGAAGAGGCTTGCGATGTGCGTGCATACCCTCCGATTTATCTTCTGTCCCGCTCTGCTTTTGTTTGGCGTAGGGTGTCATAGACTCACGGACTCAAAATCCTGTGAGATGCGATGCAGCCATTGTTCTTCTTCGTGGCCTTCTCGTCAATCACCTCGAGGGTAGATCTATGCTTGGAAAGTAGATGGCGCTCTATGTGGAAGCAATATAGCAACGAGTACGAGACCAAATACATTCCATCTCCAGTCAGCACTGAAAGTCGAAGACAGCGCGATTGTCTTCCAGCGCTAATACTGCCATTGGAAGGTATTAGGCACGTGTCCTCAGTACAATTAGGATGTCAGTGGCATGTTTGCGGGAAATGCGGCGCTGGAACCGTGTCTTCAGCACAACTACAGTACATATATATGTACACATAGCTGCTTGCTTGTCCCGGGCTGGTCTACACACAAGGACACGTAGGCGCGCAGCTAGGAAAGTGGCGTGGCGATTTCAGTCTTTCCCATCGGTTTGAATGACACAACAATGCCAGGCAACAAATGACACTGGTTGGGCACCCGCGCACCTACAATTCTAGCAATCGGGCTGCAAGCATGCGAACACCCTGTGATAACCGTCTTCTACACTGTTATCAAGTCTTGGTGGACCATCAAGATGGCGTTGCCGTTGCTTCCGGTTGCCAGCAACGGGCTACGCGGAGGGCTTCTCAGTCTGGGCACGAAGAACCAGCACTTTATCAACAGCGCATGTATCATGCAATTCCAAACATCAAGGCCTGAAGTCGATCAATCTCTAAATACTATTCGGTAAATACGTGACGTCGATCTTGAACTTGGAACTGCTGACTCAGTCAAAGAGCCCATCTGTAGCAGATTCTGCTGTCTGACGCACGTGCGAAGAATAGCTTTCTTCGCTATCAATACAAGTAGCCACTGGCAACTCTAGTCAGTCATCCCAGTGGTGTTCCTGTTGCGCAGACACTGTTTGTCTTGCTACTTTCTTCGCCAAGTGCTGGCTGGAGGGCCAACACTGAAATGTATCCATCCAAATTTAATTTCGCCCTAGCCCTATCAAGTCATTAACTGCCCAATCAAAGAGCAGCGATCTTTTGTGTCTCCGACAGTCGCCAATAACTCGTGCCAAATGCGACTTGTGCTGTCCACCGGTGAAGTGATTTTCTTCATCTGTGTACTTGCTCTAGCGTTCTACCTGTCGCCGTTCTTTATCGATGAAGTGAACGCTAATGCCTCGAACGCGTGGGAGTTTCTGCTCGTGTGGGACGATGAGGAGAATTTCCTGGAAAACAAAGTGATCCAAAGCGGTTTGAATCTCGAAACCCTCTACGCTATGTTCACTATGACCAAGATCAACGTGTATGAGCCTTTTGGGTGGATACTCAAAGCCGTTCAAGTGCAGATCGTAGGGCTTGACTCGTGGTGGGTTCGAATTGTGTCGACTGCGTTGCATTTCGTGGCTGCAATAGTGTTGGCAAGAGCATCCGCAGTACTGCTCAACATGATGGCATTGCTTTCGGAAATCAAGTCAAAGATCGTGATAGACAAGGAGGTGCAGCAGCGACGAGAAAGAAACGTTTGGTATGGCTGTTGTATCAGTGCTATGGTATTCGCTATCCACCCAGTGCACGTGGAGGTCATCGCATGGCCGTCGGCGCAGCCCTACACGCTGTGTGCGCTGTTCAGTAATCTTGCGTTATATGTCTACGTACAAGCGATGTACCAGGAGCTGTGTGAAGTGCAGATAGGAAAGAAAAATGCCGTGGCTAAGCAAATGATGACTATTTTCGGTGGAGGCAGGCGAAGTGATCTGTTTTGTTGTGGTAAGTTAATTAGATGCTGTCACGTTGAAATCCTTTCCTGACAGGGCAAGTGTTGCTGTAGGATTGTACCTGAGTGCATTGCTATCGAAAAGTGCCTGCATTCTCTTGCCCGCGGGTCTGGTTCTCGTCGACGTGCTGGTATTTGCAACTTTGGAGCCTCTTCTTCCCAGACCCAGCGCAAATCAGTGTTTGTCATACATCATAGGAAAACTACCCGTGGTTTCCACTCTACTCACGTTTATCGCAGTTATGCTGGTGTCGAATTACAAAGGAATGCAGCCTGACGCCGACTTGCTGTCGTTGACACTCAGTGAACGAGTATTAAAGGCTACAACGATGCCAGCTTGGGTAACACGTCGGATACTATGGCCAACGAAGCTGCGACCGCACTATCAGCTTCGCCCGGGAGATCTTAGCTTGACTAACTCCGACTACTTACTGTATCTCTCGGCGTCAATGGCAATAGTTTCGATGACGATCTGGTTGTGGCGGCATCGTCAAGCACCGCAGCACCTGCTTGGTCTGGCATATTGTTCGATCATGTTGCTTCCAGTCTCGGGTCTCATCCAGCATGGCATGGTTTCCGCTGGATGTGACCGGTACGCGTACTTGTGTAGTATTGTTCTTGTACCCTATGGAGGATCTGTGCTGGCACAGCTCTTTGGTGATGAGAAAGATAAAGCCAAGCTTCTAGAAGACGAACGACCCGAGAGTATCCAAACTCGAACACAGCATTACTGTGATCAGCATAGGACGGTTGGCGTAAGTGCCGTTTTCCTTCTTACTGTCACTCTACTCATGATTTCAACCAGTTCAATGGGTCACTGGCGAAATGAAGACGCTCTTTACGAGTACTCACTTCGGTACGATAAATAAGTCTTTGTGAGTTTATGTTTCTTCTTGGGCTTAAACTTTGATGTTTGTGCATGGTTAGGATGGACCCAACGGACTGGAGGCTTTTGGACCAGCGCGCGGTGTATTTCGTCACGAGTGGACGCTACTCAAGGAGTGATGAGGAGTGCAGGCGTCTTTGGGAGCTAACGTACTATTACACTCCCGTTGGAACGTTCAAATCGGATCTCCAACGTCTCAAGCTGTTAATATGGCTGAACGGACTGAACGACGTCGTATGTGAAGGGTACATGAAGTTGCTGGAGGTTCGTCCTGACAGTTGTCACGTTCGCAACAACGTGGGTGTGTGTTTGATTGACCAAGGGAAGTATAGTGAAGCACGACGAGAGTTCGAACGAGCGTTGAAATGTCCAGGATACGACGAACTGTATGAAACTCCACGCCGCAATTTGGAGAGATTAAGCAAGTGGGTCATCTTGAAGGAAGAGGCTCAAGCTCGAGGTGAAGAGGACAGCGTGCCACAGATTAAATCGCAGGTCATGTATTGAATAAAAACGATAAGGGGATAGTTTTTCGCTTGGTCATTAGCCTTCACGCGATTCATCTCTTCCTTTTTACGCAGACACAGATTCACCACACTTGCTCGAAGCCGGAGTGTGGCTTACGCACAGTCCAGCACCACACGACCAGCGAGTTTACCAGCCTCCATACGCTCAAAGACACTGGGTAGATTGTCGAGTTTCTCGATAGAGTAATTCGTGGACACGTCGCCACCGGCAGCAACTTTAAGCGCTTCGATCGAGTCCTGGCGGTTGCCAACGTAGGATCCGATGATGCGGTGGGCGTTCAACACTGAACCAAAGACGTCCGCCGTGACCTTGGCATCCTTGGGTAGACCGACCATCACGACGGCGCCGTGTGGACGCAGGAACGAAAGAGCGTCGTTGTACGCTTCCGGGTTGGACGCAACCACAACCGTAGCGTGCGCACCACGGCCGTCAGTGGCAGCGAGGACCTTTTCACGGACGTTGCCGTCCTTAAAGTCGATGAAGTCCTTGATGCCGTACGACTCGATGAGTTTGCGCTTATCCGCGCCAGTGTCAATAGCGATGACGCGGTACCCCATAGCGCGCGCATATTGGCAAGCGTAGTGGCCCAGACCGCCGCCAGCGCCGGGAATGACAACGGAATCGCCGCATACACCGCCGATCTCCTTCATCGCCTTGTAGACGGTAACACCGGCACATAAGATCGGAGCCGCAGCAGCCATGTTCAGATCTGACGGAATTGGAGTTACATGATCTGCGAACGAGACGCACCACTGCTGGAACGACCCGTCCACCGTGAAGCCGTGCTGGTCAACCGCTGGACAGGTGTGCTCGTGGCCCTTGCGGCAGTCTTCGCAGCCCAGACACGAGTTGGCAATCCACTTGACACCAACCGGGTCTCCGACTTTCAGGTTCGAGCGCGTGTGATCACCGATGGCAGCGACGTAGCCGGCACCTTCGTGGCCACCGACACAGGGCAACTTGGGTTCGAGTGGGAAGTCACCCTTCCAGATATGCAGGTCGGAGTGGCAAACGCCGCTGTACGCCAGTCGCACCAGCACTTCACCGGGCTTCAAGTCCTTCTGCTGCGTCACAGGCCAGTCCTTGCGAACCGTTAACGGGCCGTTTGTCTTGTCAAAGACCACAGCCGTCTGCGTCTTCGGAATCGTGTACTTGGTCTGCGAGTTGACCGAGAACGAACGTGACTGGCATCGCGGGCACGTGCAGCCCATGGCATGTTGCGCACAATTGCCACAGCGACATTGCGCGCTATGGACGCCGACAAAAGACTTGGTGGCGGTTGTAGCCACGCGGCGAGCAGTCTGGTTGAAGCGGGGCACGACGCGCAGCATGGTGGCGGACGTTAAATGTTCGGAGATGTAAGGGATACCAAGCGAATTGGAGAATGAGCTGTAGAGCTCGTCGTCTAACGGACAGCACGTCCAGCACAAATTGTGCTGGTCTAATGCCATCGAGTCGACGTTGAAGTCGCCAATGCACTTTAACGAGCTCCAATCGCGGCTTCAACGTGCAACTCGCTCGTGCCCATAGCGTAAGCAGCGGAGCCTTACAAGTTCTGTATTTCTTGTCATCTTGTGTAGGACACGTAGTAGCGCAAGTTGTGCTAGTGCTTGGTTTAGTTTGACTCACCAATTGTGAATGATGCTGTAGCTTCAACATGCCACTAGTACATGAAATACAAGCAGTAAGACGCCTTAACTTCAACCACACACGGTTAATACAGTTGCTGTAGTTGTCAACGATGAGCAGCACGACACCGTTTAACAAGCTGGACAACGTCATCAACCTTCGTAAAGTAAGAGATCAGGAATGCTACGTGTAGTATTGGTGATACTACTATGTTGCAGGCATCTTTGAAGCCTAGACTCCCTGTCGCCACCCCAAGGAATGGTTCACTGTAGCAAAGAACATCGATGGTCAAGCTCGGCTCTGTGATTGAACTTTGTTACACTCTAGACATACCCTCGAGTTTGAACGAGGGGTGATAAAATAGACTTGGGCCTTAGTTGAAGAAGTAGGGGCTGTCCAGCACGCTCTGGAGGTCCAGGTCGCCCAGCTGCGGCACCTCGTCGAACTGCATGTCGGGGAACCGCAAGTGCAGCTCCGTGAGCAGATCCTCCAGCAGCGGCTGCTCGTACAAGTTGACAAACTCCTCGCGCAGTCGGCGGTTCATAGTGTCCACGGAGCACGCGTGCGTCCAGTAACTGTCGTGCACGGCGGCAAACGAGATCTTCTCGTCCTCCAGACAGCGACGCGCCGTCAGCATCATGTGTGTCGAGTCCAAAGAGTGGACGAAGTTGGGCGGGAAGGCAGACTTCTGCCGCCCAATACTAACCGGACGACCTTCATTGTCCACCATCAGCACGTGCTGCACCTTCGTACGCACCTGCTTGGTCGACTTGCTGCGGTACGGCTGCACCACAGGCAGCCCCAGCGGAGTGATCCAAGACATGGGCTGTCCACTCTCACCGACCTTCCCAGCACATCTGGCCAGCCAGCCCATAATACCACGAGCGGACGTGAACAGATCTCCCATGGAGCCCATCGTAAGCTCAGCGCAGTAGCACGACGCATGGTAAATATCGTCTTCCAGCTTGTCATCCATAATGTGGCCCTTAGTCAAGAAAGTCTCGTGCAGACGCGCAGAAATCTGCTTACGAGCTCCAATGTACGTCACGCCGTACACACTCGTCATCACCGTCTGCTTCACCACTTTGCGGGTAATGATACCATCAAGGAACTGAGCGTATTTCTTGCGATGTGCCTGGTCTAGCAGCGTCCGAAGTTTCGTCTTGCGTGCCAAAGTTTCAGGGCTCTCATCATCAGGAACCGCCGCAAGCATCGCACGAACTTCCTCCACAGTAGGCACATCCAAAACTGCATCGTGCTCCACCTTGGCCATCACCTGTGTAGCCACACCCATGTACACGTCACTAGGTCGATCTGCAGGCACCAAATTCACCTGGGCACCACCACGGTGGTCGCGGCCCAGAGCGGCGTAGTGCTGAAGTCCATTACACGAACCGTCCTGATGAATGGGGATGTTAGACATGTACTTCGTCGGGTCCGGAGACTCGATCGCGCGCTTGAGCTCAAAGCACACGCCCAAAGCCAGGAACGGGTAATCAGCGCCCTTCCACCAAGCGCAGTCTCCCTCTCCAAGCGGGTTACTCGCAGACGCCACGACCTTATCCAAATGCGCGTCCGCAAACTCCACACGCTCATCAAACGAGCACTTGTCCACACCGAAAACGTTAGCCAAATGAATCTTCATCCAGCGTAGACCACGTTCGCCAAGTGGTTTACGGTCACGGAAGATCAGCAGACTACGAGAAAGATCCGAGCCTAGATGGTTGAGATTGGGTGGGATCGGATACACGCGGCCACGGAAGTCCATGTTGTACGGGTAGTACAGCTCCGGTTCATCCTTGAACTCTTCAGCCACCTGCAGCTTGTACAGCGTATCACATCGCAGCGAGTGGAATTCCCGGTTGAGTTGCTCGATCTGCATAAATCACAATACAAATGTGAGTATCACTGTTAAATATATCGCAGGTTTATAATCATGGGTATGTGAGTCACGAGGCTCCACCGCTGGAGTCTCTCAGATGGCTCATGGGATGAAGAAATACCCAGCAGCCTCCAAGCAGCAACCGCTTACTCTAGCAATCAGTTTGAACCCACATGACGTAGGATAGTCATCATGTGGGCTTGATTCTGTTGCGCCACAGTAAAATACACACATAAGAGCAGTAGCTTACCTTGCGAACATTCTTGTGGTAGAGCGCCGGGTCACTTGCAAACTCCGGACTGTCGGGGTCTGGCAAAGGAACATCTGTACGCGTCGGCAGGTCACCGAAGTTGCCGCCGTCCTCCCAAATCTGAAGCACCACATCCAGCACTTCCTTGTTGATAACCCACGGCACTTCAGCCATGAGGTTCAGAGCCTTCAAGATGCCGTCCATATCTCCACGCTGCACACAGTCCATCTGCCAGGCCGAGTCTCGTTGGCGCATAATCTTCGTACGCAGCTTAAGGTATCCTCCATTCACCACACCAGTCCACGGACGAGGAGGAACCAGCATCGGCAGGTAACGCGCCGTCCAGGGCAACACGTTGGCGTCAGGGCTTGTGGCCAACACAGTATCGGCCATTTTCTGGTGGATCTGAATCACTCCGGCGCGACGATTACGGTCGAACACATAGTTGTGGATGAAGGCTGGCTCAGGAGGAGGCAGACCTTTAGCAGCGCATAGCTCAGGCGTCGAGACCTCTCCGAACTCGTTAGGCACATAACATGTGCGTTGAATGCAGTCAACGACAGCAGCGCCCACCTTGAGCTGCAGTCGCTTGTCCCAGCCTCCAACGGTATCAACATACTCCTTCATGCGCATCTTGAGGCTCTCTAACTTGATATTCTTGGACACCTGCAGATAAAACTGGTCTTCTTTGTCTTCATGGCGCTTGGTCGTCGCCTCTTTCTTCGAGATAATCTCTTCCTGCACGGCTTTGCCCATAGCGAGAGCCAGCTTGATAAACTTGGGGCCCTTGGACTCCATCAGACACATGTTCAGCATGATGTTCATGCCGATAGCAGCGAGCACATCATGACGCAGCAGCATCAGCGCTGGGCCGTAGATGTTGCTGTCTGTACTGTGCTTTCCAGCCTTAATCTTCTTCTGCTCTGCCTCGATGTACTTCTCCGTCTCGGGGATCCACTTACGGATGAGATCCTTAGCGGCGTTAGTGGACGTGGAGCGACCCAACTGTCGAACTTTATCGTGTGAAGCAGAGTACTTATCCATAGCCATCTCGTACACGGAGCACTCGAGACGGAGCTGGCGCGCATAGCGTCGACGCATCTCCTGGACCTCCTCGGCTGTCGAGCACCTGGCCAGTTGATCGTTGGGGATCTCGAAGCCCTCCAGCCACTTGTCCACGTCCTCATCGGACATGAACGAGCGCGAACTCTTGGCTAGTTCGGCCGGGTTGGCTAATTCCTCCTCCGTCTTGCCAATTAGCTCCTCGAGTCCCAAAGTTAGAGGCGCCAGCTCGTACGGCTTCTCAACTGTCGCGCGAGGAATCAGCTTCTGAGCACGGATAGCCCAGTCAGCCTCGGCCAAGCGACGCGGCGCCATGTTCTCGAACTCGTCAGCCAGCTCCGAGTCAGCGGCGGCTTCAGCCACGGCCGCCTCGGGGGCCAGCGAGCTCTTGGAGCGCGTCAAGAGACTCAACGCTCCACGCTGCATGTGAATGCGACGATCCAATTCACTGGAGGCGCGACGCAGAGCTGCGCGGGCCACACGCGCCGTGGTCAAAGATGAAGTCTGCATGGCGAGCTGTATACAGGGTTTTCTTAACGTCTAGAGCGCAATGGAGACTGCAACTTGCGTAAGCAGACGCAGCACGAAGAGGCGGAGATGGTGGTGCGACTGAGACTCGAGCCCGAGACGCACGGGACACTACACAGAGCAAGACACGACACCGGAATACTCGGATCTCGCCGCTTGACCCTTTGAGGTTTTCGAGTGTGCGGTCAGCAACGGATTTTGGTTGCAAGGCGATGACTGGGCCACGGCGATCGCACTTTTTATAGCCAATCAGGTAGACGAATTATTGATTTTCAGCCAATGAATAATGAATATGACTTTTGACAAGAAGTAATAGCGGTAGAGCTTCCACGCGATATGAAGTCTGCTTTGCGGGGTTCTAGAACTTGCAAAAATACTGTCATTCATGATGGTGGATGAAGCCCGTATTATGAAATGGTGTAATCTTTCCACATGATTAATGTTGCACATGGCGTGGTCTGACTTTTTTGCAACTCAAGGTGAAGCAAAGTGAAAGTGATGGCAACAACAGCGAGGCATGGCGGCGGACCTTTATGTGCCCAGGAAGGCCACGAGCACGACCACGCGCACGACCACCATGACGACGAGCTCGACGAGATGGATCTGGCATTTGACCCGACGTTGGCCTCGTGCTGTGAGCGTGACGAACATGAGTACAAGAAGGCCATGAAGCTGAAGGCTGTGCTAACTGCGCACGACCCCACTTCCGGCGCCGTGCGGATGCGCCAGCAGCTGTTCCAGCCGCCGGCGACTGCCCCACCGTACTCTTCGGTGGTCGCTCCTCAAGTTTCACAGCCAAAGCAGTCGCGAGTATCCGATTCAGAGTCGGAATCCGACGACTTCGACGATAGTGACGATGAGTTCGGCATGGAAGCCATGTTGGCCGCTCGTCGCAAGCAACTCGAGCAGCAATTCCAAAAGGCCGCACAGGATGCTGCTGATGGCTACGGAATAGTGCTGGATATAGCGTTATCACAGCTCGTCCTGGAGCTGCAGAACGAACCGGAGGTACCGCGGGTAGCGCTTGTGGTGGACAACGCAGCCGAAGCTCAAGAGTTCTTGCGAGCCATGCGCGGCGAGATAGCCGCGGTAGCACAGCGATTTCTTGGAACAAAGTTCTACGTAGCAGTGGCAACGCGCGACGAAGACACGTTGCGACAAATGCGCTTGGCCTCGGTGCCGGCCTTGGCAGCGTTTCGCCGCGGCGAGCGCGTGGACTCCATCACGCTTGACTCGAAGGCATTGGTCACGGAGCTGGAGGTTCTGTGGGAGGCGCGTTTCTTGCCGTGGCTGACAAAGTGTAACGTATTGACCAGCGAACGTCAATCTTCTCAGAACAATCATAGTAAGTCACGCAGGAAGGAACCTGCGGACGAGGAGGAAAGAGAACGCGAAGGATTCGATTGCGGCGTCGAGGGCTGCCGTCTGCGATTCGGCTACGAACACGAACACGTCGGGACTTCACAACAAACAAAGGACGAGATCGCAGCGTGGCGCCAGAGCTCCACCTAACTTTTAAGGAAAGAGTACCAGCTTCAGAAATTATCAATTAAGTGTGCTCTTCGATGCGTTGTAGCTCTCGGTTGGTATTATCAACCTGCATTAGTGACGCCCCTGATGTGGGCGGAGCTTCCACCTACCTGAGAAAAGCGAAGTGGCAAGTGATTGGTTTCCACGACGCGTCGAATGTGATACAGGCGATCGGATAGAACATTCCGGGTCTCCACACACCTGCCGTACGACAACACGCAGATAGCAGCCAACTTTATATCGAACATTGGCACATTTCTTGTCATCTGCGTGTTGCCATCGGGTTGATACGGAGCCAAATTCGAAGAAGCAGGGCGAAGCAATTTTGTGGCTTTGGTCCACGCCGTGGCGCTACAGTCTGTTGTCCCGCCGTGCCACCATTGATACTAGTCCATCATATCGGCTCTTCGTACGGTGGCGAGTTGAGCTGGTTTGGGTTTGGCCCCCCGTTGTATGGCTTGCAAATGCTGAAGTTGCTTCTGAACTCTAGGTAGCCGGTGGATTTTTTCCGGTCCGAACTGGGGCATACAAATGCTAAGTTCACACACGTCGCAGATCATGGATGTTGAAGCGACACAACTTCTAAATTGTTGCACGCACGTCGAAATGGAGGCATCGTATGGCTCCAAGCCAGCGGCACTCTGACTGTCGCTAGGTTGTCGCGCGAAGCAGAACCCAGAGCCGCACTTATCAGAGCCGCCGATGATTAAAACACGGGTGGGTTTCTGTGGAAACCAAACCGGCCATTGCCAGGGATAAGGTCAGAGTGAACGTCACTTCAACTGACCGATGCCGCGCGGACGCCCCGTAACGTCATTTCCTATTTGGAGGCGCAGTGTGCAAGCCACAAGAAGCCAAGCCAAGGAAAAGACCAACACTCTTTCTTCCTATATTTAACACTAGGGCAATGGTGGAAGAGCCTCAGGACGAGACGAGGAAGCCGGCGCGCGAGCGAGCGAGCTCCGGTATGTTGCGTAAGGAGCTGGACATGCGGCTCACGGCCTACCTGCCCGCCGTGGTGCGGCGTCACGTGGAGAAGCAGGACATGCAGCGTCCGCTCTCCATGCCCACGACCCACCGCACAACCGTCGTGAGCATGTTCGCCGACGTGTCTGGCTTCACAGCCATGACCGAGTCGCTCGCTGCGCGAGGACCCGTGGGCGCAGAGGATCTGGGCAAGCACTTGAACTCGTACTTCGAACAGTTGCTGAGACTCGTGTCCAGCGCCGGTGGAGACGTGTTCAAGTTCGCAGGAGACGCCATGCTCATCTTCTGGCCCGAGAGCAAGGAGGACACGATGGACAGCTTATTACGGCGTGCCCTGCAGTGTGCGCTACGGATCCAGTCGCATCTGCACGAGGCCGAGTTGGCTCGAGGTGTCGTGTTGAGTGTGAAAGTGGGCGTGGGCATTGGCGAGGCCACGATCGCACACCTTGGAGGCGAGAGTGACGGAGCCACGGCTCGCGTTGAGTACGTTGCAGTCGGACCGGCGTTAGAGCAGGCGTTCAGTGCCGAGCACCAGGCTGAAGCGGGAGATGTCATCTGCTCTAGTGAATGCTGGAAGCGCGTTCGTGAGTTCTTTGACGGCGCACCTGTCCGAGGGCATGATGATAACAACAACGACGGCAATTGCTTCCACAAGGTCACGGCAGTGAACAAACCTGTCAAGATTTGCTCCAGACGACCATCATTTACACGCCACGACGCGCTGCTGCATAAACGAATGAAGCAGTATGTTTCTCGGGCTGTATGGCCCTACCTGGACGCACACGATGAGTTTTGGGGCTCCGAACTCAGAGACGTCACTGTATTATTTATCAACCTCGGCTTCAGGTACGCTATTCACTGTTAGATACTCACACACAGAAAGACTGAGGCTTACGTACTGTTTTAACTCACAGTGAGCAGGATCTTGCTCGAATGCTCGGAGCGAAGGAGCTTCAACGACTTCAAGACGCATTTGCCAACGTTCAGAAGTGTGTGTACGACTACGAAGGCACAATCAACAAGTTCCTAGTGGACGATAAAGGCAGCACAGTTATCGCGGCGTTTGGTCTACCACCAGTAACACACGAGAACGACCCGATTCGAGGCATTTTGGCGTCTCTAGCTATCTGTGCAGCACTGGGCAACACTGGTCTCAAGGCTTCAGTAGGTATCACTACTGGTACGGCGTTGTGTGGAGTTGTTGGTCACCAGGGAAATCGACGAGAATACACTGTACTGGGAGATATCGTGAACTTGTCGGCTCGCCTGATGCAACGCGCTAAATCTGAAGGCGGTGGAGTGATCACAGACGCCTCGACGAAAATCTACACGCAAGACGTGCTCCACTTTGAGAAGCGCCCCGAGATTATGGTCAAGGGCAAGAACGAGAGCATCAAAATCCATCGACCATACCCGCGCATGTCAATCCTGATGGACTATCATCTTTCGTCGTCCCAACAGCAAAACCCTCGGATCAAGACCAGTTCCGTAAAGCCCACAGAGGGGATTATAGGCCGCACAGGACGTGCCAACGCGTTGTCGGTGGTAAGTCGTGCTGCTCCGATCCAGAATTTGATGGAAAATATGCATCGCGTGCAAGTACGTGACGCCCAGCGACGACTATCACTGCGTGCTGATCGACAGCGACTACCAGCTGCAGAGCTTGTGGAAAGCGAGAGCTTCGTCGAAGTCCGTGCTACTCTTCTTGAGAAATGTTCGCATCTAAATGCATTCGCACCTGGAGGAGCGTTCGTACTTGAGGGAGACATCGGTGTGGGCAAGACTGTACTGCTTCGATCTGCTCTTGCAAGTCCCGAAGCAGGAGATTACCAGGTTCTGGTCGGTACAGCCAGTCCGTTTGTCACGAAGAAGCCGTATGCTGTCTGGTCGGAGCTCATTACTCGAGGTGCGATGGATTATCTGCAGGGAACCAGTACTGGTCAATCTGAGCCTGCACCTCCGCTATCACCGGACGTAGGCACCACAGCGGACTCGACTCCAAGCCGACTAGCGGAAACGAAACGCAGACAATGTGTGGCGCAATTCGTGAGGCAGAAGATTCGTGAAGGTGCAGCACCCAACACGACGCTAGTACGATATGCGCATCTGCTTAATGCAGTTCTGGACACAGACTTCGACGCTTATCCTGACCCCAGCAATGAAGCAGCCGTGAAGAACGACGATTGCAACAACGAGCTCACTAACCAGAGCGACGAAGACGGTGAAAAGAGTCAACGACATAACGAGGAAGAGTTACGTGCCTGCGGATACGCCTTTGCAGAAAGCCCGGACAGGACTTTGAATGTGAAAGAGGAAGAGATCGCGTCGTGGTTTTTGGGCCTATTGGAGATGGATCTGGCTCAAAAGGAAGAGGCTCGAGCGTCGTTGGATGCTTCGCCTTGTGTGGATACGAGAGAAACCGAGCAAGCCAATGAAGACGAGCAAGAGCCAGAGTGGAGACCCGATGACCTGGATCTCAGCGGCATTCTACTCTTGTGTGCTCTGCACGCCATGTCACGCGACCGCGCCACGGTGTTCTGCCTTGATAGCGCCATGCACATGGACGCAAAATCGTGGGTTCTGGTCACGATCATCGCGAAGTATTTTACGAACTGTTTAGTCGTCGTAGGTACGCGACCACCGAGTTTGGCACTAGGCGAAAACACTGAGAGCTGCTCGTTCCGCAAGCAACTGAGTCTTCTCAAGCGGCTCAAGTCTTCATCCTGTAAATCTCTTGACTCGTTCAGCAGTGGAGAGACTGAGTTGCTGTCACGTCAGATCTTGAAGGTTCCTGTGATCCCCAGTGATCTATTGGCGATTCTCGTGTCTCGCTCGCAAGGAAACCCTCTCTTCCTGCACGAGATCATCGCAGAGATGCAAGAGCAACAAGTGATTAAAGTGGATGACAAGAAAGGAGCTCGCACGTGTGAGCTTCATGTACAGGAGTCATGGGGGGACAAGTCCAAGGCACAGTTCTGCTTTGCTTGTCATGCCAGCTTTGGAAATCCCAAGAAGGACAAGGACAAAGACAAGAAAATCGACGTGGAGAAGGAGATGAACCAGATCACCGACATTGATGTGGCCAAGAAATCCAAACATCGCTGCAAATGCTGCGGCTATTTTTTCTGTGCCGAATGTACTCCCAAAGCTTGCCAAGCAAAGATCCCGGGCAAGTACAGCGAGTCTGTACGTCACTGTCGCACGTGCTACAACTTGTCATCGTCTCGTCGGCCTAGCGGTTCTTCTGTCGGGGCTGCGGCCGGAGCAATCAACGATAAGCGAGCACGAAAAGGCCGCATTCGCTCGATATTTCAGTCTGGAGGTAGTGGAGACCATTACTCATCATCTACATCGTCGAAATCTCCTGCTTTGGCGAGTACCCAGACACTAACGAATCGTATTGCGTTGAGACCACCACGGACCGTCAAGAGTGTACTTACAACCATGTTGGACCAGCTAACATGTTCGCAGCGGATGCTTATGAAGACCGCGAGTGCTATCGGACCAGTCTTTGACAAGGAAATGCTGCGTGGCGTTTGTCCGATCGAGGCTCATCTGTCTCGGTTTTCTCAAGACTTGGAGGAATTGGAGCAATTGGCCATGATCCGAAGAATCGACACGTTCGTTGGAGGTGTGCCTGCATCGTCCAAGGCTCCAGGAGCAACAGGAGCCATCTTGACCCGCAGTCAAACTGCCCCACCGAGTAGCTACTTGAAGGTGAAGTTCGAGTTCAGCCACGGCTTCATGCGCGCTGTCATCCGCGATCAACTTCTCCGAGGTCAATTAGACAAACTCAACGCTCGAGTCGCTGATTTCCGTGAGCAACAGCAGAAGGAATTACGCCACAAGTTTTTCGCCAAGGCGAACGAGAGTCTTTCTCGTCCAATTCCATTGAGTATCCCAGCTCCTAGCGAAGGTGAAATTCGACGAGCACTCACTCCAACTGGAGTTGGAATGGGCAACTCGCGCTCACCAGTGGAAACCCGACGTCAAGAGGTTCGACGCAATTCCCACTCAGGTATTCATCAGGCCAGCGATATTGTGACTGTATCATCCGGTTCTTCGTCCGAGTCGTCAACAACGCAAGCGGTACACGAGAGCGAGTACGACGACGGACTGTTTCATCCTGTTTCCAGACGTCAGATTGGATCGCTAGCTGGTAGACAAGCGACGTTCATTCGCTTGAAGGCAGATCGAGTACTCGTCAAGAAGTACAGCAGCATGTTCTCCCACTTGAAGCTGAAAGGACTCAAGAACGCTCGACAATGGAAGACTCGCTATGCTGTCTTGGAGAGCAACCGCTTGTCACTCCAGCGCGATGAGGACGACCCAATTGGAGACTCCAGCAGGTCTGTATCACTGCAACAAGGTGCTCGACACTGGACGTTGTTGTCTCTGAAAGGTGCAAAAGTGAGTGCGTGTGACCCCGAGGTGGCTGCCAAAGTCAACTGCTTCCAAGTGCAGGTCTCGGAGTGGACGAAGAAAGGAAAAGTGATCAAGAATCAACGACGTTCCTTTATCATCGGCGTCGATAGCGAAGAAGAAGTGGACAACTGGGTCTACATGATTCGATTCGCGATTGAATCGCTGGAAAGTCAACCGGTCGGTTTGCGGTAGTGAATGGGATTGAAGATGGTAGTCCGCTGCCTTGAAATTTGGCGCGGACAGGTAACATTCGTGTAACTTACTTTACGAGTTGTATGAAAACACCTTCAAACGTGAATATTTGTTTGAAAATGTTTGCATTTATGAAATTTTTTTTTCTTGCCTTCTATTGTGATTTTCAAATGTAAATGTTCGGGTACAAATTTGGCGCGAACGGTATTTTTGAAGCTGAAATTGATTGACGATGGCTTCGCCCCAAGGTGACGACGTGGTGGACGTGACGATGGAGGGCGAACGCAGCGAAGAAGAAGAGAAAGAGGAGGAGAACAGTGAAGAGGAAAATGGAGAAGAGGCAGAGGAGCAGGACGTTGTGGAGCTGGACTCAGACGAGGAACAACATCAAGAAGAAGAACACAAACAGGAGGAGAGTGAGGACGAAGTGCAGTTTGTGGGTAGCGTAGAGGCGACAAGTGACCACGATGGGGCAGGGAATGATGGAGTAGAGAAGCAGGAGGAGGACGTGGTGATCGTGGACAGCGGCGAGTCTTCAAACGGTCAGTCTACAAATGACGAGCGATCGAGAGCCAACACAGACGCCGTCATGGCAGCCAATGGATACGTAACACCAGCCACACTGGAAGCAGAGCTCCAGTGCATCATCTGCCAGTATTCCATGTTCAAGGTGAGGAATTTATTCGAGTTGGAGAAGATTTTGAGATACTAACGCTAAGATTCTTGCTCTGTTTTGTAGCCAGTATCCGCGATCTGCGGCCACTCGTTCTGGTAAGTAATAAGGTGTTTGTGTCGACAATATATTTCTCTGACATTTGCTATTGCAGCCGTGTGTGTCTTATGGACTCGTTCTTAACGCGTTCGATCGAGGAGGCACAGTGCCCGATCTGCCGCGTTGATATCCTGCAGCCATTCTCGACAAAAAGATCATTAGCGTCGATATTTTCCGTCAACGTCACGCTGTGGAATCTTGTTCAAGTATGATATATTTAAAAAAATGCAAACTGGGATAACTAACTGATGTCTGCTTGTTGTAATCTAGCTGCTTATTCCGTCGGTTGCTGAGCGAGTTTCTACGTACCAAGAGGAGGAAGAACAGGAATTCAAACAAAAACTCGATCAACTGGACGCCAAGTGGAGAGTATTTAATCTCAGTGAACAAGCAGCGAGATACCATGGAGATCACGAAGAGGAAGATACGGAACCTGCCCGATGGGAAGACGATCATGAAGGACATGACGAGTATCCAGTGGTGAAAGTTGAGAATACTCAGGAAGGGAGCTTGAGCGTTTTGCGGAATATTGTGCTGGACACGAACGATGAGAACGAAGATGGTTATGTGAATATGCGTGTGGGCTTCGCTATTGTGGAATTTCCAAGCATTTTTGAACTGTACAATGAGCACCAGGAGTGCTCCGTGAACGTTATCAAGATGGAGGAGGACGAGGAGATGGCTGACGGGATGCCATTCTTCATGAATGAAGACGGAGATGACGATGGCTTTGTCTGCGGTTCGTACTACAACGAAATCAGCCTCCGCGTCTGTGATGAAGCGGTTCGGGAAGCTGTGTTTTATTGTAATTACCAGCAATTATCTCACCTTTACTATGAATGATAGGGTAACTGCGTGATGGAGAGAACCCGTGGCGCTCAAGGAGGGGTGGTGAGCTTTCCAGGATTGCGTCTTGATGTTCCGGGCGGTACGAACACATTCTCATTAAACCATGAAGAGCTATAGTGTTCTTACTAACCTCTTATGTTCTCGTCTTGATTAGGTATGTACACTTTCCGCTTTTCGGACGATCTTTATGGGCTGAAGCTCAGTATAACCACGCGATTACGCGAGCCACACGAGATCTCAGATACCCCTGTAGCCGACTATGTGGGTCTCATCAACGATGAGGCAAGAGACGCTAGTCGTCGTAATCGAAGGAGAGATCATGACAGCGACAATGAAGACGATTACGACGAAGGGAACGAGTCGGATGATTCGTTCATTGTGGACGATATGAATGTACGCAATGAGCAACCTGTCGGTCGCTTTTCTGATGAGGAGGGTGAAGAGCATTGGCATTACCACAGTGATGACGAAGCAGCGGATGAAGAGAGAGAACAGCGCCACATTAGACGACAGCAAACAGGCCGACGATCAGAACGCGATGTTCAATTCGTCGAAGAGCATGAAGAGGAGGAATTATCTAGCGAGAATGAACACGAGGAAACTCACCGACAGGGCGTAGAAGAGCATGAGAGTGACGACGATGAGGATGAAGTACGACCAGGTCGTCGCAATGCTCGAGTAGTCGAAGAAGCTGCGTTCTCTTCGGATGGAGAGGCTGACGTAGATGCTGTTGAAGAAGAGAAAGATGACGAGCAGCACGGCACCGCTGATGTTGTTCGACCTCGTCGGCAAAACGCGAATAAAATCGTCGATAGTGAGGATGAAGAGGAGGGTACGCCCAACGGCAGCAACGAGGATGAACCGGGGATTCATGTTAGTGATGTCGTTCGAGGGGAACATGATGTACGAGGTAATAATGACGGCGATGAAGCCATTAAAGAGGACGAAGACGATGAAGAGGACACACTTTCTCGAGCTACGAGCCGAAAAGTGAAGCGGGAACAGTGGTTGGAGGACGATGAGTCCGGTGAAGAAGAGGCACAGCCCCACCCAGATGCAACATTCTCTCGTAATGAGGAAGACAGAGTTGATCAACGAAGGCCACGAAAGCGAGCACGAGGCAGACAAGTTCAAATCGTTGACGAAGACGACAGTGATGATGAAGAAGAGCAGATGGAACGCTCTATCATAGCAGCCAATTCCGGATATGCACACGAAGATGAAGACGCTGACGAAGACGACGCCAGCGGTTCGCAGCTCCGACGGGTACATCTTTACGACGAAGAGGACGACGAGCGACACGAATTTGGAGATGCTTTTCAAGAAGACGACGCCCCGGACTACCCGGATGAGGGTGAGGAAAATGACTTTGAAGAAGAAGAAGATAACTACTAGTATTAAGATTTTTGAGCATTACCGGAAACGACAGTGACTTCTTCTCGTTTTGGAAATACAACGTATATTCACGAATTTTATAATACGAATACGAAACTACAGAATCCCTAAGCATTTAGGAGTTATCTTGGCCAAGGGAATGTATCGGTAGAACGAGATTAACATTGGTGATACCTTTAGGTATGGGCAGCCCTCCACCACGAAATGTAAGCTGAACGTTGAGCAAAAATAGCATATTTGAAATATATTTTGGCGTGAGGCTGTCCATGTCATAGTTAAGGGCTATCGGTTTTTCTTTTTGTGTGCGTGTAGAAGTCTAACCTGCTTGGACTCGCGAGGACTTGACATCTGCTGTGCATCCGGCGAGGGGCGTCTCGTGAACCAAAGGAGAAGCGTGACTACGCTGTCGCTTCTAAAGGTTCGTTCATACAATTTGGTACCGTCACCGAAATAAAACAGTATAAACTAGCCCGGAAGGAGTCTAAACGCAGATTTTCAAATATCCAAGAGGAGGTACCTAGAGAAAAACTAGCCGGTTGTGGAATCCATTCATCAACGCATATTTGGTGTCAGTTTTACTCTTACAGATTGTATCGCACCGTGTGCCGTTTAAGCCTGCGAAGCAAGCATTGACACTCAAAGAACAATCCTAGGCTACCCCAAAGCATAGTCTACTTGTAATCGCCGCAGGGTCACCGCACTTTCAAGATGTTGAAAGAGGCAAGTTGAGATTACATATATTTTTTTAATGTAGAAACCACTACCTCTAAAACTACGCGATCTGACCTATTTCGCCGCTTCATTTGCGGCTGATTCAGCCCGTGAACAGCCTACGCGAGTTTGCTAAAATGTAACACTTTATGTGTGTATGGAAAAATACCTGGAAAAAATGTAATTTTGTACCCGATCAAATGGAATTATATAACCTGATTCGTTCTACTACCACGTTGGGTTGGCGTCTCTAATGAAGTTTGGGAATGTGCTGCATGCCAGAAAATTGCTAAACTGTTGGTCTTCACAGAATATGATTAATTGGAGCCAGCTGCATGACAAACGATCGAGCTTTATAGCGACAGTAGGAAAAACCAGAACATCTTAGCAGTTTCAAGAGGGTTTTTTCAACGACATTCAAAAAAATTGGAGATTCTGTTTTGTAGAACATGAAATTAGAGTTGTGCCTCGCAGTTGGGGTTGTGGTCAGGCCTGCCGATTATGGCATTGATAGGCATCTTGGCTACAGTCTGTAGATAAATAATGGTAGCCAATCTGCAGCAAAAGAACATACATAATGAAGTTAGTCAAAGCAAGCAAATAAATAATGAAATATTGGACACGGTCATTTGCATCTATTGGGTAGCGTCGTCAACGGTTTGCGCGTTCCAGTAGCCAGCATTCTGACGCAGGAACAGGATCATTTCCAGCGCGATAGACTGAAGGCTGTGACGCTCTTGACCGAATGTTGTGCGTGCAACACTAAAAAAGCGCTCTGCAATATTTGAGGTCG